CCCCCCCCCCCCCCCCCCCATCCCCGACGGCGCGTGCGAAGCACCAAACCTTCAGACAATGCGTCAGATGCACACAACCCCCTTAGCGCCAGTGCTTCAAATAATTTCAGGAAGCCCCATAAACCTCAAACTTCAAACATTAACCTAAACCACACGCACATACACAAAAAAACAACAACAAAAACAAACATGGAAAACTCCCTTGGCCCTAAGCCCTGAAAGAAAACCCTGCATCCTTAAGCCCGAAAACCCTGAACCTCAGATCTTGAAAACCCTTCAACCAAAACGGACGAAACTCAAAAGCCTGAATCAAATCCGCAACCCTAATCCCACCGCTGTTGAACCCTTCAGTCCAGAGCCCCTAAGAGGAACTAGGGTTTAGGGTTCCTGAGGAACGAAAACACAAACAAAAACTCTACACCCAAAACCAAAATGAGAACCCCTACAATAATATATGACATGATACAAAGCACACGTAGCCCAAATGAACCTTGAATTCATCCGAGGAGCCCGGAGATTTGCAGCTGCAAGCTACGGAGGGTATCTTCGTGCCGGTCCAACCTTGTCTTCACCTGTCAGGGCTGCGGCTTTGGGGTTTAGTGCTTTAGCTTTGAAAGGTGTACCTGTAGCCCCAAGCCCTACGCAATGGTAGGTTATCGTGCCTTGATAAGTTTGTGGATCTGCCGGCAGGATATAGCCCTAAGGGTCCATGTACCCAAATAGGATATACTTTGGCCTTAATGTAGTCCCTATATAGGTACTTTAGAGCCAATGCAGATACTATTTTGGTACATGGACCATTAGGGTAGGGTTTTCTTGAGGGTTGTTTTAATCGGCTTGGCGCTTTAAAGTTTGAAGTCTCAGGAGGTCTTGGCCGCTTTTGACATACGGTTTCAAAGGGTTGTATCGGGTTCGGTTAAGTCCTACAGGGCCCTATATTCTCGACTCCATGGGTGTCTCTTTTAATAACTCAACAAAGTTCTGGGTTTTGTTCGGGTTTTTTGGGCGTGGGCTTTACGTGAGGATTTTGTGTGAAGGGTCTGGGGTGCAGCGTTTGCAGGACTGCATGTGTCTAAACCCTAAGCCCTCTAAGCCCTCGAAGCCCCTAAGCCCTAAGCCCCAAGCCCTGAACCCTCTACCATCCTGAAGTAGCTCTTAACCCTTCAGATCACCTGGGAGTTTCCGAAAATTCGGGGTACCTTATTTTGGGGTCCTTATAATAAGGATCCTACCATTTAGGGTACTATATTAGGGTCCCCTATGTTCGGAAATCCCCAAATGAATCAGGAAATTTCAGACTCAACCCTAAACCCTAAACTCTAAAGAATCCTGAAGCCCTGGGGACCCTAATATATAAGTAGGGGCCTAGATAATAATTACGGTACCCTTAATTTCGGAAACTCCCAGATCACCTCGTCCAGCTGCGGGCCAACCGACGACCGAACTGCGCTGACCATCAGCGTCGCACTGGAGCTGGACCTGACCCAGGGACTTCGAAACTCGTAATTAAGGGTTTAGGGTTTAGGGTTTAGGGTGTTTAGGGTTTAGGGTTTAGGGTTTAGGGTCGAGGGTTCAGGGTTTAGGGTTTAGGGCTTAGGGTGTCGGGTTTAGGGTAAAAACTCGTACCCAGAGACTCCAATACCCCTTAATTAAGGAAGATACATTAGGGATCCCACTATAATTTAAGGTCTATTCCTTAATTAAGGGATATTGGAGTCTCAGGGTAATTAAGGGTTTAGGGTTTAGGGTGTAGGGTAAACCATAGAGGAGCTACTTCTTAGAATGATGTATTCCATGTGATTCAAGAAACTCTCTGATATTGATATGGGGGAACGTTAAGCTTATGATCAGTCACCAGTTTTTCACTTCAAGCCTCCTGGCTCCCTTGCCAGACCCCAAGTCCTAAACTCTAATGAAGTATTCTTGAACCAGGGGCTTGGCAGTCTCTGAAATATCTTTTTCGAAGGTGTAGGGTTCAGGGTTAAGGGTTTAGGGGTTTAGGGTTTAGGGGTTCAGGGCTTTAGGGGTTTAGAGTTTTCGAGTACTGAATGGATCATGGCACCTGCCAGCTAGGGCTATGAAAGCCCTAGCTGCCAGGTGCCATGATCCTTTCCTCTAGGTATTGAGTTGGGGTTCAGGGCGTCAGGGATTTACATAGGTGGTTAGTTTAGGACATGGGGCGTGGATTGTAGCTGAGGCAGCTTGTAGGAATTCGCACGACAACGAACTGTTAGAGCCACTAGGCTCACACAAGCCTGTCATAGTTGGCAGCACGCGGCATGCTGTCGAGATGGTTTCCGAGATCTGTGCTACGTGTAGAACAAGCAGGTCTCCAAACCCTGCAAACCTCAGGTCTGCGTACACACGTATACGGTTTGTAATTGCTTTGGCCTTACCGGGCTTCTTATGTAGGTACTTAAAGTATCCGCGATATAGGGGCATGGCCCCCTACCCTAAAAAAACCTAAACCCTATAAGCCCTAATCGCGGCAGCTGTGGATTCCGCCTTAAGACTTCTGCGACACGATCACTGCAGGGCCAAACGGTAACGGGTTCGGCTTTGGGGCGTACTGTAGGGGGCCTTAATAATTAGGATTGGGGTTTTGGGGGTTCCTTATAAAAAACTGTAGTATAATATACCCCCAAGCCCTGTTCGAATTATTAAGGCCCCTATAATAAGGGGGTTCCTTATTATAACTATAAGTATAATATTCCCCCAAGCCTATTATATTATTACGGCCCCTATGTGAAGGTTTGGGGCTGGGCTTGGAGTTGGAGGTGACCGCGAGCCCACCTCATCTCTGCCGCATTGGAGGTGTTCTCCAGCCTGGGCTCTCATCGCTACTCAGACCCCTGGGAGCATCCGAAAAGTAGATCCCTTAAGGGGTGTCCTAGAAATCATCCCTTAGTACTAGCCTGGGGTCTGAAATTTGGGGGGTGGAGAGGGAGGGGGGACTTGTAAAGATCCCGGAGCTCTTTAGGGTTCAGGGTTCAGGGGTTTAGGGTTTAGGGGTTTAGGGGTTTAGGGGTTTAGGGTTTAGGGTTTAGGGTTTACCGGTTCGTGGGGCTTCAGAAATACTACCAGTAGGGTCATAAACCAAGGTAGCTGTGCTGTTACTTAAAACTCTAGTTAAAGTACTTATGATCTTATACCGACTACGTCACCCTAAACCTTAAACCCTAAACCCTAAACCTTAAATCCTAAACCCAAACTAAGTCCCATGAACCTCCACGTAGCCCAGTTACTAACCTAACATGTTAAGGCCTTATATAATGAAATCTGAGGACATCTACTGATCCCTACCTAGACCCGAAAGAACCTAACTTGTTAAGTACCTAGATAAGGAAACCATAAGAAGGAGCCCTAGCAAAAAGGTAGGTTCTTTAGGGTCCATGTAATCCATATAGTATATACATTGGCCCCAAAGTACCTATATAGGGACTACTTTAAGGCCAATGTGTATACTATTTGGGTACATGGACTCTTAGGGAGGTTCTTTAGGGTCGAGGTAATCCAAGTTGGGTTTTCTAGGGTCCAGGTATGGTTTTTGGAGAGGCACAAGCTTCAGGATTGAGGCTGTTGGGCTCCATAAAGATTAGGGTTTGGGGGTTTAGGGTTTAGGGCTTTGGGGTTTAGGGGTTTAGGGGTTTAGGGTTTAGGTTTAGGGTTTGGGGGTTTAGGGCTTAGGGTTTAGGATTTAGGGTTTTGGGCTTTGGCCGGTTCAGAGTTTTTGCTGTTTGGGGGCCGAGTTTGCGCAGACTGATGGTGCCTGATGTGACCTTCAGCATCGTACCTCACATGTAGTCTACACTTTAGGATTTCTTGAAGCAACTTTGCCCGACGGGCAAACGGCCTTGCATCGCGCAAAAACGTCGTAGAGACATCAGCATAAAGGCCGCGCAGTGACGTGGATGCAATTGTTCTGAGATGCTACACTCGGACTTCGAAATCCCAAGCCCAATCCCACAAAAGGGGATGCTTTCCCCCAAACCCTAAACCCTAAACCCTAGATAACCCTAGATAACCCTAGATAACCTTAGATAACCCTAGATAACCCTAGATAACCCTAAAACCTAAACCCTGCACCCTGAACCATCCTGAACACCTTAACCCTAAAGCAGCGACACCCCCCGGCAGACCCTAATTATCGTATCAAAATGGATCTGGAATCCTAAAACCATGAACTCGACTTTGGATGTTGTGGTTGTTGTCACCCAAAGGATCATAGGACTTGTTTGAAGTAACTAAGGTTGTAAATAACGTAACTATACCTAGAAGGACATATGAGCGGTTATCAAAACCTCTTTTCAATCCGTTGACACTATCAACCCCTTCCGCGTTTAGGGTGCGCGCAGCTTCCGCGGAGCCAACTGTCCCTTACGCGCGGGCCCTTGAGTCAGCTCTCAAGCTTTAAGCCTTCCGCGCGCCCTTCCGCATTTCAGGTGTTTACGCCCACCCCTTCCGCAAGATACCCTTGCGCACACCCCTTCCGCGCATCGGTGTTTAACGCTACCGGTCCACAAACCTTCCGCGCATGCGACTGTAGCTTCCGCGCGCTTCCGCGCCTGTTTGTTAATGCCGGCCCTAGTCTGGCTAGCTCTTCGATGGTTCAGCTCTCCGCTCATATACCCCCTGCAATTGAGGTACTTATAACTTATAACCTTACCTACTAGTTCCCGCGATCTTCCGGTCCAAGCAAGCCATACTCTACAGTTTGGTTGCTGTTAGTCCTGCCTCGGCCGTGAATTCAAGCAGCACAGGCGCCGTACAGAAAAAGATGGTAGTACAGGCGGCTCTGCTGTATGGCTTTTTACCCTGAACCCCTAGCTCTACTTGAACCTAAATCTGTACTGAAACCCTGAGCATCAAAATATCCCAAAAGCCTTCTAAAATAGGGTCTTTGGGCCCAGAAGCCTTAAAACATGAGTCCTTAGAGGGTAAGGGTACGTAAGCCATCCAAGAGGCAGCCTGATGCGCTCCTCCAAATGGAGCTGGAACTGATCTCGCGAGTCCTCTGCAAGCCGGCTGAAATCTGTAACACTAAAGGTCCATGTACCCAAATAGGGCTAAACCCTAAACCCTAAACCCTAAGTTGTACTTTGGCCCCAAAGTACCTATCTAGGGACTCTTTTAGGGCCGACGTGGTACTGTTTGGGTGCATATGGGGCTATAGAACCCTTAAAGCAACCCTGAATCGTAAAGGAAGTCTTTGCATGACTACTACTTAGGGTTTAGTGTTTAGGGTTGAGGGCCCTGCGTAGTATGGCACACCCCAGGGAGTCGGAATATTCAGAGTAAAGAGGTTTTAGGGTTTAGGGTTTAGGGTTTAGGGTTTAGGGTTTAGGCCAAAACCCCCCCAAACGACTACTTCAAACCCTTAACCCTTAACCCAAACTCTTGTTATGAAGCCTAAATCCCAAACCCTGGACTCCTGATCCCTAAACCCTAAACCCTGAATCCTAGATCCGACACCTCCAGCCTCATATCAGCTCCATGTACCGACGTAGTAGCTACTTCAGACCTCAACTACCTGTACAAGGAACAACTTGAAGGCCAAAGGAGAAAACTGCATGTGCACATGGACCTCAAAAAGTTTTACCCTAAGCCCCAGGTACCTACTATATTAGGTACTCGAGCCATAAGGGCCCTAGATAGTAGGCACCTGGACGGTTAGGGCTATTCTAAGCTTACCTACTCCACTACTAGGAGTCCTTATTGGCCCAATGCCAATGCCCTGCCTAGGCCCGGAAGTCGAAGGGTCATACCATTTCTGGACATCCTGTTTGTGGGATAGGATCCTCGGTTTAGGGTTTAGGGTTTAGGGTTTAGAGTTTAGGGTAAGTTTTATGCTGGGATCCTTCATCCAGCGAGAAAAGGTTCCAGGTAAACCCTGAGCCATGAGTCAAACCTCTCAGAAGCCATCAGAAAACCCTCGGCCCAGGCCTCTACGCGCTGCAAACGATCCTGGATCCTTCTCAGCAGCACGGCGTTCCTTAGGTTCTGGTTCACTCCGCTTAGAGTTTAGATTGTTACGGTGTTGGGGGTTTAGGGTTTAGGGTTCAGGGTTTAGGGGTTGGGGTGCAGGGTTTACGGTGTTCTGGCTGAGGGGCTTGGTGCCAATTGCGGTCCACGGTTTGCGTGTTAGCGGTCTCACGTAGTGCAGGGTCCAGGGTTTCAGCGCCAAGCTCGGGGTTCAGGGTCAAATCTCGCATATATACCTGTCCATGCAGATGACCGCAACAGCCTAGGATTGAAAAGACAAACCCAAACATGCGCATGCTGGTGACTTCAGCTCCAAATTCAATGCCAGCGCGTTCCTGCACCCGAAACGCCAAATCCTCCACTGACCGAGACCACGAATTGGCGAATAATGTGAGCTGTCCTGAAGCCCCACCTCAGGATCCAAAAGCGTATCGTTTCAAGGGTTCTTCCCTCTAATTAAAGGGGTCATAGCCTACTATTTTTCAGTGTTTGGGGTCACAGGCAAACCCTGCAGAATTGCAGGCGCAAGCGTCTGGCCAGTGTACCGGTGTTCTGGCGACAGTGGTTCCACCGTGGTGGTGCTTCCTTGGCTCTGTGCGTGGGTAGTTCTCTGAGTTGGGTTCCCTGTTGGGTGACTGATCTGGGGATCCAACCGCGGAGAAATACTAAGACAGCGTATAAGCCACACAATTGTTGCATAGTACTGACGTCGGCAGACAGGGATGATAATTGATGCTTTCTAGAAGAACCTTGCAGTGCTGAGTGAAGACCGGAAGCCCTAGTACGCAAGCTTGGCTGACATGGAAAACCGAGATGAAGCCTAGCCGTCCCAAAAATATAGTGGTCATATACGCTAACCGCGTGTCGAAGATTCTCTGTATGACCGCCACTGGACCCCCTGAGTAGGGTGTTCTATGGATCTACAGTCATTGTGGTGGCAACTTCGCACAGGAGTAGATGCACGCATCGACAGCGAACTGTGCAACACAAAGATGAACGAATGCAGAGTCGTAATGTTGAACAGCATCCGCCGTAATCACGTCAGCGCATGTCAGCGCACAAAAGGAGCATCTCTATCTATCGATCTACCTAACAGCCTACCTACCTAGCGATGTATCTATCTGTCTGTCCGCATGTCCGTCTGTCCGTCTGTCTGCCTGACAGCCCGTCTATCGTTCCATAATTCTATACATAGACCAGTCGATCTATCTATACGTGCGTCTATTTATCTAGGGCTTTATGGTTTCGGCTTTCGTTTATGTCTGGTTCTGGGCTCAAAAGTTTTAAGCCTCGCACTCCGAACCCTCTGCTTTCTCCGCCAAAGCTCCCGCCGACAGCTGTGAGACTTGCGTGAGCTGCTGTGAAGCCCGCTGTTGCTGCTGGCCTAGGGCTCGTTAAGGCCCCTTTCAGGGTTTAGGGTCGAGCGTTTTCGGCTTTAGAGGTCGTCCCCAGAATGGGGCGTCTGGGGGTATACAAGGCTTCAAGCAGGACTTTTCTGGGCTTATAGAGGCTCTTTCAGGGTCCCGAAGGGTCACATGTACTGTGATGGGGGATACTTCCCTAGATCAGACTAGACATTCCTAATTATAGAAACCCTACATTCTACTATAAAGGTAATAGTAATTCCTGATATAGAAACCCTACAGTCTACTATATAGGTACTTCGGACCCTTTGGGAGATTTTTGAGACTTGAGAATTTCTTCATGGTGGGTGTTCCTTGGCTAGAAAGACGGTGGTCCTTTCTGCACCCAAAAGCCCAATTACCTGGGGATCCAAAAACGTACCGTTTTAAGGGTTCTACCCTCCGATTAAGGGGTCGTAACCTACTATTTTGGAGGGTTTGGGGTCACCGGTAGGATGAAGCACTTTCCCTAAGAGTCCATGTGCCCAAATAGTATATACTTTTGCCTTAAAGTAGTCCCTATATAGGTACTTTGGGGCCAAAGTATATACTATGTGGGTACATGGACCCTTAGGGTTTGATTTCGGATAACACGTGGGTACATGGAATATGGTTTGATACTTGCGGTCTACACCTAGTAACTACACTGGAACCCATATAATTCCGACCGCGAAACGCTCAAGCTCTCTACTAATTACGATGCGCTACAATCTGAACATGGGGTCCATAACCCTAAGGGTCCATGTACCCAAATAGTATATACTTTGGCCCCAAAGTACCTATGTAGGGACTACTTTAAGGCAAAAGTATATCCTATTTGAGTACATGGACCCTTAAATCCTAAACCCTAAACCTTGAACCCTTAGGGTAAGCAATAATGGAATCTGCGGACTACTTTAAGGCCAACTATTTGGGCACATGGACCCTTAGGGTAAGCTAAGCACAGGATCCTAAGAACTGCAAGGACTCCAGAATGCTCTGCACACATCATCTCTGCTATAGGTAGCCATGCAGGCATGGGTTTAGGGTTTATAGGGTTTAGGGTTGAATTAGGGTTTAGGGTTTAGGGTTTAATTAGGGTTAAGGGTTAAATCCAAGCTGCATATGAGCACTGACTGCTGGAGCCGTGCCACCTCAGCCAGTTGCCCCGCGACCTTGCAAAAATGTGTTTCAGCTTTCGCTCATCTTCGCGTTATGATGCTTCACACTGCTACCGCCGCAACAGCAACACTACTAATCCCAGCACTGGTTCTAAACATGTCTGCGCGGTGGGTCCGCCTTGGCATCGGCTTCCTTGACATCCGCCTGACAGATGAGGGCTCCGAGCCGAAGGTTTATGCTTGGAGGTTCATGGGACTGATTACGGTTACAAGCACCTGAACTGTGAGTATATTTGCGTTATTTATAACCCTATAGATACTAGTACTATAAGTCCCATGAACCTTTAAGTGGTGTAAACCCCCAGCACCTGCCCCAACACCTAGTGACCTGAAGGCAACAGTAGCAAAGTAAGGCAAGAAGCTCACTCATAAATCCTAAACCCTAGATCAATGCTGAATCTTGGCTGAACCCACAAGACTCGAAAAGTCTTCGAGTGTCCGTAAAACTTCGTAGGTTTAAGCACTAAACACGTGAACACCTGACACCATTAACCCTAAGACCGGACGCATTAAACTCAACACTCTGAAATTCTAGGAACCCTTTTGAGGAACCCTGTAAACCCCTAAACAAAACCCCTTTAACCCTGAAGGCCTTGAAAAGGGAGCACTTTAATCCATGCTAAGCTATACATACTTATAAGTAGTGTTACCTTATGTATAACCCTAGTTACTGAGACCCATGAAACCTTCAAGAAGGCCCCTAAGCCCCAAACCTCTAAAGGGGGAACCCAAGTATGGAACCCGTATAGTACCCCTGCACGGAAACCTGATAAGTCTGGAACCCTAAACCCTAAACGGTGTAAACCCTAAACTCTATACGCCCTAAACCCTAAACCCTCTAAGTCCCATGATCCTTTAGGTAAACTTAGTAACTGAGCTCATAAACCCAGACAGGGGTACACTCTCAGTTTTATAGTAGGTGAGGTTATCCCAAAACATGTAAAGTGTATCCACTAAGTGATAGGGCCCCCCAAAAAGCACATAAGCAAAAACTAGGATAGGGATATCCCATATGAATCCCCTTATATTGAAGCCCAATAAGGTAGGGATATCCCTAAGCAATGCTTATTCTTATGTCCTTTTTGGGGTTCCTAAAAACCCTAAACCCTAAACCCTAAACCCTAAAAGTAAACCGCGGAGCCTGGCAGATCGAGAGCTTCTCGGTGAAGGCGCGGACCTCCCCGGTAAGCCGGGCCTCGCGGTTCGCCGTCTCCTCTTTTTAGGGTAGATAGGGGGTTTAGGGTTTAGGGTTGAGGGTATAAGGGGTTTAGGGTTTAGGGTTGAGGGTATAAGGGGTTTAGGGTTTAGGGTTGAGGGTATAAGGGGTTTAGGGTTTAGGTTTGAGGGAATAAGGGGTTTAGGGTTCCTAGAATTTTAGGGTTTTGGGGTTTAGGGTTTAGGGTTGAGGGTATAAGGGGTTTAGGGTTTAGGGTTTCGGGGTTTAGGGTATCAGGGTTCCTAGAATTTTAGGGTTTTGGGGTTTAGGGTTTATAGGATTTAGTGTTTCTCCTGCTTAGGCTATATAGAGGGTTGGGGTTTAGGGTCTAAGGTTCATGAGGCCTCAGGGTTGAGGGCTTCAGGGCCTAAGGGCTTAAGGGTTTAGGATTTAGGGCTTCTCCTGTTGTCGTGAGTGTAGGGGTTTAGGGTCAAGGGTTCTGGGTTTTCAAGCTTGGAAGGGTTCTTGCATTTAAGGGTGGTATATCCTAAGTTTGAAGTAATTAGGGAGAAAAGATACAGATTTTTATTTCATCATTGTTCCTTTAAGGAACAGGTCCCCAAAAAGTATTAAAGTATGGTGCTCCAAAGCCCAGATATAGTTTTTTGTACAGAGTTCTAGGTAAGTCCCATGAACCTTCAAGTAAGTTGGGCCCTTCAAAGCCTCTGGAAAAACCTTCGTAGGTGAGATCCTCTTAGGCTCAATGGGAGAAAAAAGAGCACGTCCCAAAGGCCTAGCGAAAAAAAGCTATAACGCCCCGAAAAGAGCCCTTCAGGGAACCCTTAAAGGGAACCCTTTTCTAGAACCCACTAGCACCCTTAAAGGGAGCCCCTTTTAGTAGGGACCCTGTAGGGTTTATAGGGTCATTTGTTTCAATGAAGGGATTCCTATCTAGGCGGGGCTCCATTACAGTAATGGTATCCAGTAGCGGCTCTATAAGGGCCGCAAGATATAGGGCACGCCCTCTCCTCTGCCTGCATGCGGGTCGTGTTCCTGAGCTGCCCAAACACACGAAAAGCTCAGATCCTGAACTGAACTATACCTACGGTTCCACGTAAATAAGAGGGATTTACTTTGGCCTTGGGAGGGGGTCCTATGCTGTGGGCTTCCGGCCAAAGACTGTACCAAATGGGTCAGGGTATGAACCCGAGCCGGGAACATCACGGAAACATTCCTCCCCAATGCCCTAAAGCCTAAACCCTTAAGCTTGAAAACCCACAATCTCCAACCGTTTACACCGCACCGCCCTCCACTAAAAACTTCAACGCAAAACCCTGAATCCTAAGTCCTGGGCCCTAGTTAATCTGCAGCCTGTCGCCTCAAATCACCGCAAAATCCCCAAACCTGGAACCCCCCTAGCTAACATCAAAACAGCAACAGGGGTTTAGGGTTTAGGGTTAACGGTTTAGGGTTTAGGGAACCAACCTCAGGGATAACAAAAAAACTCTACACCGGCAACACATGAAGCCCTAAACCTGCTGCCAAATCCTGAACCCTAAAGCCCAAACCCTAAACCCTCTAAACCCTAAAGCCGGGTTTCGGGTTTAGGGATTTAGGGTTTAGGGTTTAGGGGTCAGGGGTTTAGGGATTACCTGGAAAGCCTGGTGTACCTTCTTTAAGGGCAACTGGTCACTGTGACGGTTTTTTCCGCCACTGGCTTAAAGTGTATCATTCCTGTTGTTCAGATATGATCAAACTGGATAGGAAACTTTCTCAAGATAGCCGCAGATCATAGGATACCCCTCTTAAGCCCTCGGGTGAACTTGCGAAATGAAAGAAAAACCCAGCCCCAACAACAAGAGCCTTCACACATCCATCGGCGCCTGGGCTGCTGCTGATCGACGCAGGACCGCTCATTTCTTACCACTTTAATGCGAGGTTCAGGCAGTATCTTTGGATTGTGCGGGAATGTACATTCCTAATGGCCACATTTCTGGATTGGCCAGAAACCTTGCCGATGAAATCCTCGTCTAATTGGCAGCTCTCTGCCAATACATTAAGGCTTGTGGCACCACGTTCCGATGCGAGCCGCATGCTATGCACAAGGTGTGCAAAGAAATGCACTTTGGGTTGTATCTTGAATCTCGGTCGCTTCGATATGAGGGCGTGCGCAGCCGCCTGATTTAGTTTCCGCAGGAACTCATGCCCCAACTGTGCAATGTTGCCTGCATCATGGGGTTCAACCCACAGCGGTTGTCCGTAGATGTAGCGCATGAACTTGTTAATGGAGACCAGGCCATCATAGATCGTTCGAAGATGCTCTTCGTCAGATTGTTCGCAATCGGCCAAAACACGACGATACTTGTCTTGAAGAAATTTTGCCAGCAAAGTCGAGTCTGCACCTTTGAACCACCGCCTTGTTTGTCGAAGCTTGAACTAACTTGAATTCGTAGCTAAGACTATAATGAAACGGGTTTCCTTTTCTGTCACTGGCTTTAAGAATCGGTATATGGATAAATAAATATAAATTATACATACATACATACATACATACATACATACATACATACATACATACATACATACATACATACATACATATATGTTCTACCGCTATAGGAAACCCTACAAGAATTCACGGATAAGCCCAGAACAAACACTATTTAAATAAAACACACAAAGACTCCCGACTGGATAGTCGGCCGATATCGTCGCCAGTCCCAACAAATCTTTCGTCAGCCCGGTCATGTGCAGATACTCGTGATTGGCGGCACACCAGTCGCGGGCCTCGTCGTACAAGACATCCATGCCCACCTTGAAGTCACTGGAAGGTCCCAGTAGACCGTGATCTGCCAGTGTGACCTGGGGTGTTATATGTAATAAGGTGATATAATATGTTATAAACACGATTCTTGCTAAAACCGCTAAAATCATACAGAGCTTTATTGAATAACGGTATATACTGTTGGTTGGCCAGGATTCAGCAGCTGAAGCAACATAATCTGCAACCACCCCTTTGTGACACACGTGGAACAAGTCTATGGCAAAGAAGGTCGCCGGGTCACTCCTGTCCTGAGCAAGTTTTGCTAGTGGAGACGGAGTGTTCCAGGGAAGAGGGTTGCCACCAGTAAGCCACGCAGCGTTGCACTCGAATGCGTTCCACGGATAATTCTTTTGGCCAGCCCGGCACAAATGGCAAATACCGGGCGGAGAATCTTTCTTTACAGAATCACGTAGGTGATGACGCATCAAGCGACCAGCTTTAGCTAAAGCGGGCCAGTCTCCTTTGCAGGATAAAACCACAGGATACACCCTGTCGATTCCAGGAACAGAACGTAGCTGAATGCCTTCGCGATAGCAACTCTCCAAATCTTGGTACCATACTTCGAAAAGAGAATAAAGTACGTTTTTTCTCTTTGTGTATGTCCTGGCCAACAGTACTGAAAACAGCAGTCGCGATAGATATGTTGTGCCCAAGAAATTGTGCCCAATATTTCGTTTGGAACCCTTTCCACACACCATCTGCACCGATAATACCATAATGCCTTTTTTCTTGTGGCTCGTGCCCTCGTCCAGGTGTAGCATAACAGGCAGGCATTGGTGTAAGCGGCCGGCATGCGTAGTAAACACATCGTGGCCGGGATGCAGTTTGCGCCACTTAGACCAGAATTCTGTCAGTTCTTTGGGTCCATTCCCCGCAAAAAGATGCTGGGCTTTGCCGGGCACCTTGTCGAAGGTTTCCACAATGTCTCGTAGTCGCAGCACAGGGTGTGCTTGCTTGAGGCCAATCGGAGCATGCGATACAGGGATGTTGGCTTGCAAACCGAAGTCCTTCAGAATCTTGGGAACCCGGTTGTCGTGTCCAGTTTCGTGAAGTCTGTGGAGCTGCGAAAGAAAAGAAGATGATTCTATAGGTAGATGGTCTTGTAGTTCTCGATGCATAGCTGATGCGAGTTTGCAAGCGTGTGCCTCGCTAACCTTAGGCTCGTTCTAGATAGAGATATAGATATAGATCTATCTATATATATATATATATATATAGATATAAAGTCTGAATAGTGTTTTAAATAGTCCTGTGGTGGGTTCAAATAGAAGCACCATTGGACTGGGAACACATAACTGTATCTAAACGCCTGCTGAAAATATTCGAAACCGACAGCACCTATTCCTAGAGAAGTATAGTACCCGATAAAACTTTCGACCCAGATGTATTCCCACCAACAGACACCAGATGCGATAGTCTCTGCAACCGCATGGGCCACAGGACCAGCCCGGCGTGGCCGCCCCTCATGTCCGTCTGCGTGCTTCCGCTTCGCTCCACCTGCGTGCTGCTTCTGGCTTCAATTATATTGACTGATATTTGCGGCAGTGTAACAACATCGGTTCCGTTTTTGCGAACGATTTGATCTAAAGACGTCCCGGAACTGTGCTGTGCACACATCCAGCTGTAATGACAACTGGGCGTGAAAAGAAGGAGCATCTCCATGGAGCACCACCATTGTCACACTAGGCATATACCTATAGGTGTATCTACGGTATACCTGTAAACAAGCTGAAACTGTAAATGATTTTCACCTGCAGCCTTTGCTAAAGAAAGTATACAGCTCCCACACTACTCCTTTGTAGTGAAACGTGAGAAACTCTCGCACCCCAAGGCTGGGCAGCTGCTTGGCACAGGAAGCATCGATGGAGGACTCCCGGCGTCGAAGAAGCATACTCCGGTTATGAATTTGGAATGCTGATCGAGCTAGTATAGATAGACATTGCACGTGGAGTGGGATTCCCACCGAAGCTCACTTAGCCGACTTAGCCTTCCTGCCGCTCTTGCTTCGCGCTGGCACTGCCTTCGACTTCGGCGTTGCAACCTTTCCCTTCCCTTTCTTACGAATGAGTCGACCAGGACCCGTGGGCTCAGCCGCTGGTGGGCCGGTCTTCGTCTTCAGGAGAGTCCTTTCCAGGCGCATGCTTCTAATCAACTGATGTACAACATGAGCTACTCGTAGCAGGGGGCTTATATCCCGTCCTTTTCAGCTTGGTTTCCTCCATTACGAATCGGGCACACCTCGAACAATGAGCTTTGGTTGGGGCTTGGGGCTTCATGTTTTTTTCTAAGGTTTGTTGAGGGTATTTATAAGGGCTTGGCATCTTCTCGGTGGATTCAAGGATGTCGTGCATCTTGTCGAGAGACCTGCAAATTGCAAGTGTGGCATCGACCTAAGGTGACTTATTGAAAACTGCAGTTTGTTTGGTTTACGTGGGAAATTGATTCGAGTGACTTCTGGCAGACTGGCTTCTTCTTGCCGGCATAGGATGCTTTCAGCTCCGCAAGCTCATCGTGGTAGCCACTCAGCTTGGTAGCATACTCCTCGACGATCTTGAGCGACCTCAGTTTTGATTAGGGCTTGTCTTGTGGAGCCAAAACACCCGACACGCACGACGTGCCACATGACAGTGTTCATGTGCAAACTTTGCGGCCAAAAGTCTTTGCGGCTTTGTCCCCTGGCAGCTTCTCTAGCTTTTCGGCACAAGTCTCAACCCTTGTCTGGACTCGCAGGAGCTGGCTCATCACCTCGCCGGCATTGTCGAGGGCCTTGAGGCAAGCTAGTGGTCCAAGCTTAGTTCGGGCGACTGGGTTTGCTAGGTCGGGCCTCGGTAAGGGCTTCCTCTTCCAAGATTTCTTTCTGCTCTTTGCCAGGGCTGGACTTTTCGGGGGATCCTTTGGTCCTCGTTTTCTTGTCCTTCTTGCTTTTCTTTTCCTTCTTCACCTTCTTGCACGTCTTAGCCTTCTTTTTTTTTGTGATTTCCCTCGCTTCTTTCCATGGGATGTTGAGTCACTGCTGTTGCTAGAGTCGGAACCATCATCATCACCATCATCGCTTTCATCATCGTCTGTGTCAGCGCCCTGGCTCACATCATCGGCCAGGTCCGCACCGTCGGTGTCATGGATCTCCCTCTTGTCAATCCACGCTTCACTCTGGGCCAGCTTGTAACTGCCCTTTGTCTCCTCTTCCACCCAGTACTCGACCTTGTCTTTCTCGTATTTGTCTCGCCTT